TTTTTCACTTGCTGTCATACACATTAACACACAAGCACACACATCAATATAGCTCGCCACTTATCAAAACATCAATTCATCCTTTTTACTGACTGAACCATGTAGTCCAAGGCCTTTCTATAGCAGCAAATCTCTTTCCTGAATTTATCTCCCTGCCTGTGAGGGATTCTCCACTGCCAGGCATGATGGGCTCTGCTCTTTTTACTGTCAAGCATTTATGGCAGCTACGACCATGATTAATGAGAATCAGTTGAAGCACTTACTGAGGTGGTCCTTCTGACAATTTGTGTAAAAGAGGCAGATCACATGCTACGTCGACTGTTTGTCTATAAATGACAGCCACTGTAACTTTACTGAATAAGAAGGTGATATAAGAATTAATAACAGTGTGTGTAAGAGAATTGAGAACTGTTATAAATATCACAATAACCTGTTGGTCTCCCACAAGACACCTAAAACTACGTCACACTCCGGTCTTTACACATAGCTGCTGTTCATCACTGTCTGCATTTCACTACATTGACGCTCCCTCCTCCCTATCCATCTAATTGGCCCCGCTTTTTAGCACCATTCAACAGGCACCAACACAACCACATGTTCATTCGGCAGCACCGCTTCTAAAGAGCTGAAAGGCCAAATTTTGTTTACCAATTACAAATTCAACAGACAAAAATAGGTTTAGGTATTCTCCATTCATACTAGAGAAGAATGAGAATGTTTTCATTTATTGTTTCATTTCCCTTGCTTACTCTAAACAGCATGCAGTAGATATGAGATTTGTGGGATTTTAACAACAAACAGAGAATATGCTTCACTAGGCGTGCAAGAGAGAATTGCATTAAAAATAGAGAAGGTCATATATCTCAGAAATGCTCTGGTCTAACACTTGTAAAACAGAACTTTATCTCTTTCATGAGCTGCATGTCTAAAATGCTCCAGTGGTGTTGGGAAGTACTGCCATTCACTCCCTGGGCATTTATAGTCGCAAGAAAAAGTAATAGTTTCCTGGTTTTCTGCATAATTTGGTCATGAAACGTGATCTAATCTTCACCAAAGTCACAAATACAATCAGGGTATAAATTATTTGAACCCCAGCTGATTTTGTAAGTTTGCCCACTAACAAAGAAATGATCACTCTACAATTTCAATGGTAGGTTTATGTGAACAGTGAGACACAACAATAACAAAAAAATCCAGAAAAATGCATTACAAAAAAAGTTATAAAGTAATTTGCATTTTCATGAATGAAATAAGTATTTGATCCCCTATCAGTCAGCAAGATCTCTGGCTCCCAGGTGTATTTTATACAGGTAACGAGCTGACATTGGGAGCCCTCTCAGCTCGTTACCTGTATAAAAGAGACCTGTCCACAGAAGCAATCAATCAATCCAGATTCCAAACTCTTCACCATGGCCAAGACCAAAGAGCTTTCCAAGGATGTCAGGGACAAGATTGTGGACCTACACAAGGCTGGAATGGGCTACAAGACCATCGCCAAGCAGCTGGGTGAGAAGGTGACAACAGTTGGTGCGATTATTCGCAAATGGAAGAAACAT